ATCTATTATCCACACGACCATCCACCCATCCAACTAGCAAAAAAGTCACCCTATCCTCCACCTTAACCTGAGGCTCAACTACTCGATCAGCACTCCAACCCAATTGCTAGCGAAATATTCAGCCATTTATGCATCCAGGCAACCAGCCAACAAGCCAGACTATCAATCATCCAACTAACCGATAACCCATTTTTCCAGCTTGCCCACCCGCCAAACAGCCAACCAAAAATCCAGACAAACAGCTATCTATCAAGCCAGATATTTAACCATTCGACAAATGAGCCTACGACCCACCCAACCGGCAAACCAACCCATTTGCCAACCTGCCAAATTTCCACCTATCCAACCAACCAGTCGGCTTGTCGAACAGAACAGTCTTTGAGACAGGTTGTTCTGTGTGATGGATACTTCAAGGAGTGGGCAGGGCTTGTTAAACACCGACCTTGTCGCTGCCCCTGTATCTCGCGTCCAATGATTTGTACCCTCAGAAGCTCTCTTTTCTGAGCACTCCTGTTTACCAAAGCTTAAGCTTATGTGTAACCCAAATCTGGCCCCATAGGCTTTCTCGTTAGCCTTTATCATCAGTATGGAAGTGTTATCGTTATCTGTACCAATAGTTAAACAGTGCCTTTCAGACATTTTGCGAAATATACCTTTCTTTATTTTGAGAAATGCATCCTTTTATACTGCTTTATCAGCCAGATGTTCGGCCTCTAATTATCCCATTCGGCTGCCCGCCAAATACACACATGACAGCATAAGGTAGGCTACAAAGCATTGCGAATATATGAACCATCGATAGATGTGAAATTAGGGACTGGAGGCCAATAGATCCAATCATAACAAAGTTATAAGAACTTTAGTCACTCTAGGTCGCAAAAAGTGATGTCTTTTGTTCTATATAGGTGGTTTGACTTCATTTTCGGAACTTGGCCGTGTTAACAGGGCGATTTAGACGAGTGTACCTTTTCCGGAGTCCTCTGCTATCTTAGTTATCATAATCCCCAGCATCGGTTCTTTTACTTGGTACGTTCCCAGAGGTTTGCTGGTCATAATTAGGGCTTAATTACGATTTGAAAGAGAGACAAGGGTAGTCCATTCACAGACCAGCTTTCTGCCGAATAGTAGTATCATTACTCAGTCCGTCCTGGTACATTTACCTAACCCTCTCCAATGTCGGCGAAACTTCTGGTAATGTACCAAGTTCAAGGTTTGGTGCTAAGACTTATCATTACTACTATAGCAGAAGACTTCTTACAAGGTGCATTCATTTAGGCCCCTCTGAAAATTCGACCAAGGTGCAAAATTGATTTTGTCTTGCCTCCAAGGAGGCATCCCGGACTGCATTACTGTTTCATTGATGTTCAGGTTTTATCCGAACCCTTAAACGATATGCAAAATCTGGTCATGAATATTAAATGGTTACGGATCCCCCCTCAGCAAGACAGCGACACAACTGCTGCCTCATTGGGTCATAGGAAAGATGTATTTGCCAAGACAAGTTAGGCCTCTCCTAATTCACACTCTTATAGTAGGCT